TTTCAGCATATCAGGTGGGGACCCTGTACTGGGTATTACATCTTCTATAATCGCAATACCATGGTTGAGGTATGTATGTAAGATTCCGCCCGATTAGGGGCAATTACCTAGCGAGTAGATCCTTTCTAGCAAGGAGAATCGAACGTTAGTTAAGATGAGATAAGAATTCTAGTGCAGCCTTGAGTTAAGTGGATTCAGAACTCTAGAGCAGCCTTGAGTTAAGTTTAATTTCAAATGATCTTAGAATAATTCTTCCCAAGGAGCATTGATCTAGAGATAGGTTTCGTCATAACCAAGTGTTTCGAATTTCCAGTTAGTATCAAGGACTCTAGTGCAGTTGTAAGTTAAGCTCCAACCCTAGAAGTGCATAAGAGTTAGTTTTGCCCTAGTATGGGCAACGACCTACAGATTGCGTCTTACAGTTGCTTATCGTGAGCGTAAAGACCTAGTGTCCTTCTCGCCTATTAAGCAGTCAGTTGAGCAGAAATTATATATGGTAAGTTGAGCAGCTATTCGAGATAGTCAGTTGAGCAGCTATTAGAGATAGTCAGTTGAGCAGCAGTTATAGACATTGTACTTATTTATACGCATTTGTGGTGTGTTCTATCATATTAGATGTATGCTTAGGTTGCGATGTGATTTATCATATTAGATGTATGCTTAGGTTGCGATGTGATTTATCATATTAGATGTTTACTGAGGTTGGGATGTGCTTATCATATCATATGTATGTTTAGTTCGTGATGTTGCAGTTATAGTTAGTCAGTCGAGCAGCAATTATAGTTAGCCAGTCGAGCACCCATTATAGTAGACATTTGAGCATTAGTTATAGTTTTCCAGTCGAGCAGAAATTATAGACAGTCAGCTGAGCATCGGTAATAGGCAGTCAATTAAGTAGCAGCTATAGATAGTGTGCCGATTTAGGCATTTATTGGATGAATGTTTAATCAGTTAGTAAAATGTTCATCATCATATCGTTTTTGCCGACTCCGTAAGTACTTGCTTATATGTCGATGTCATGATATGTTATTATATTAGTTGTATATTTCAGTGCCGGTTCTGGCAGAGCACGTGGATTATTTATGCTCACGCCCCCCACTAACTATTTTTCAGGTGACGGTGTCGAGCGTGGAGTGTGAGCCGATGATGTGATGGCGGTCATAGCAAGGATATTTTTAGTAGGCATGTCATGTATAATTTTAGCATGTTTTAGTTATTATGCCTTGTTGATGCATGCTTACATTTGGTTCCGCACTCAGTATTTTAGTATTTAGAATTTCAGTCTATGCATGCTTAAATCTTGAGATGTTTGGAGTAATGAATTATTCTCGGTTGCATGCCTAGTGGTTTAAAGATATTATAGATTAAGATTTAAGATTAAAGTGGAGTAGCATCCCGCATATTAAAGTTAAAGTATTTTCGAAAAAAATTTAATATGAGTTTTCGAAAATTAAATAAGTGCTTTCCTTTTATAGCGCGAAAAATTAACTCTGATTTTAGTAAGTTTTAGGCGGGGTGTTACACTGCTCCTCTGTGGCGATATACTTAAGTGCAATTTGTTTGTCATTGGTAGCTCCACGTAGAAAATGATATTTGATAGCAATGTGTTTGGTCCTTCTGTGATGTACGGGATTTTTAGCCATTGCTATTGCAGATTTGTTGTCGCAGTATATTTCTGTTGGATTTTCTTGGTGTTCCCCCATGTATCCTAGAATACGTCTTAGCCAAATAGCTTGACTTGTCGTTGGTGCTGCTGCAACATACTCGGCTTTTGCTGAAGATTGTGCTACACAATCTTGCTTTTTGGATGACCACGAGAATACGCCTGAGCCAAGTGAAAATGTGTATCCTGAGGTGTTTTTCATGTCGTTAGCTAATCTAGCCCAATCACTATCGGTGTAGCCGATTAGTCTTGAGTATTCGTTATATTTGTATTGAATTCCGTAGTCTTTAGTACCCTGCAAATATCGCAGTATTCTTTTCGCGGCTCCATAGTGAACTTGGCTCGGACTTTGCATGAATCTCGACAATAGACTTGTCGCGTACATGATATCTAGTCTTTTGGCCGTTAGATACAGTAGGCTTCCAATCAGGCTTCGGTATGTGGATGCGTCTGCATTTGGTGTACCATCTTCTTTGGTGAATTTCTCGTTTGTTACCATAGGAGTAGCCACAGGTTTACAGCCGTCCATCTTGAACCTTTTTAGTAGATTATCTGTATATTTCCTCTGTGAAATAAATATCCCTTTTTCTTCTTGAATTACCTCAATGCCGAGAAAATAACTCATTTGCCCAAGGTCGGTCATCTCAAAGGTCTTCATCATATCTTCTTTGAACTTCTTAATCATCTCCTCATTGTTCCCTGTATAAATAAGATCATCGACATAAAGAGAAACAATGATCCGTTGTAATTGATTCCGGGCAATTGTGAGTACCCTTTAGCGACCAGCCGTGCTTTATGTTTTTGGATTGATCCATCTGGGTTAAGCTTCGTCTTGTAAACACACTTAACTCCAATGACTTCCTTGTTATTTGGTGGATCGACCAACTCCCAAGTTTTATTCTTCTCGATCATTCTGATTTCTTCCTCCATGGCTTTTACCCATTCTTTTTCCTTTACAGCTGCTTCAAAGCTTTCAGGTTCCATCGTGGCAAAATTTCATGTCTCGTAGATCTCCCTGAGTGTTCGTACTTTTCTAGGTGGTGATTCTGGGATGTCTGTTCGTCACTTGATGGTGATGTAGTCCTCGGACTTGAAGGTCGTGGAGCTGAAGGTGATTGTGTACCTTTTGCTTCATCTTCATGTTCTTCTGGTATGGTATTTTGTCTCCGTGATGCAGGTACCATGATATTTTGGTATTCGACTTTTTCTTCCTCCCGGTTCCTGCCGCATTTTCATCAAACTCGTCATCTCTACTGATAATTAGTTTACCAGTCTTGAGAATGTAAATTCTGTATCCTTTAGATTGAGAGCTATAACCGAGGAATATGTCTTTTTCGGATTTTTCCTCCAGTTTGTGCCTCTTTTCCTTTGGGATATGCACATAGCAGATACTCCCAAAAACTCGTAGATGTTGAGCTGACGGTTTTCGTCCACTCCAAGCTTCTATTGGAGTTTTATTTTGGACAAGTTTAGTAGGACATTTGTTGAGTAGATAGACTGCAGTGTATACAACTTCTGCCCAAAATTCTTTAGGCTTATTCTTCGCCGCGAGCATTGTCCTAGCCATCTCTTGTACGGTTCTGTTTTTCCTTTCTGACACGTCGTTTTGCTCTGAAGCATAGCCAACAGTTAGCTGATGGTTGACTTCTTCATCCTCGCAGAATTTGTTGAACTCCTTGGATGTGTATTTTGTTCCTCGATCACTCCGGAGTACTTTAATTCTTCTTCCACTTTGATTTTTGTTGTGAGTATTTTTACCGGAGTAGAATCGAAAGATTCAACACCGGGTCGTA